CTTTTCTATTTTGTTTTCTGAGACAGGGTATTTTAGACAGAGATGGGCCACCAGTTCACTCAGGTATCTTGACTCTTTAATTCTTCTCTCATGGGACTCTTTGAGTTGTGCTTTTTTTGGTATTTTTTAAAAGCCTTTATTTTCTTTTGCACCGTTTAATTATGATTCTTTCTATTTACTGATTTGCCTTATTTCTAAACTTTATGCCTATTGATTTTTGAAGATAACCATTATAGACATGTACTCATTTCTGTGTGCCATGAAGTCATTTGGGAGTTCACAAAAGAACATTTGCCCGAGTAATGAGGGCTGACAGTTCACTGACCTTTGCTCATGTGACAACACAAAGTACTGTCTTATACCATCATTAAAGTGAAGCACCTTGAAATCAATTATTATATCACTGCCTTGTTTTGATCTCAGTAAACAATGAATTAAGTCCTCTTATATCTAACTCAGAGTCTGTAATTCAGCCCCTTTCACACTTTCTGCAGCCTTGTGCCCCAAGTCTGGTTCCCCAGAAATGCTGGCAGAAATACTCTTTAGTTTTTCCTAGAATAAGTCCCAGTTATGTTGAGGACTACAAGCTCAGGTATCCACAAAAGAGTGCCCATTGTAGCTGGCCAGTATGAAATATTCCACATTGTTTTGTGCTTTTGGCTGTTTAAAGCGTGGCCTCAAGTGATTTCTGTGTCCTTTTTCAGGAGAACAAACACACACAGCAGTGAGCACGACTGTCTCTTCTTTTACCTTCTGTGAGATCCCACAGCCCTCTGCTGCCCAAGGAGGTGTGCCAGAAACAAACCCCGAGGGACTGCCTAAAACAGGGGAGGCTCAGGTGTGCTAATTAACTTGTTCACTGAGAGGGATATTCTACTTGTTTTAGGGGCATTATTATTTTTATATTTAATACATTTTTTCCTTTTGAAATTGCTGTGTGAGCCAACCCTCTGGAGTCTGTTAGATGAATCAGATTTTCTCACAAAAGGACCTGAAGAAACTTGCAGGTACATACAGGTGTTTCTGCACAGCTCATTGGCTATACATGGAAAGAGAAATAGATAATAGTGCAAGACTCTTGTTGATCTGTCCACCTGCAAGTCAAACCTAATTTCTGAGGCAAAGTTGAGTACTGAATAATAGCAGGGCTGGAGATGGCTCCTGGCTGCCAGCATGGAAAAAAGGTAAAAGGAGAATCACCCTATAGGTGTGCTCTGCATTATCTTGGGGCCACCTTTTACTACAGTATCAGTAAAATAGTTTTGGGGACCAGTTTGGAATGTAGCTGTTCACTGGGCAAAGCAGGTGACATTGCCAGATGGGTTTTTCAGCCCATACAGGTTTGAATCTTGCTGTTGTTGCACGTGCTGCTGGGTGTTTCTGTAAGGATGAATCCCATTTGTAGGTTCTGCTCTGCCCAAGGAGGAGTGATCAGGAGTTAGCAGGGAGCATCCAACAGGAGGGATCATATTCCTATTAGCTCATTTTTCTCTGGGCAAGTATCAGCCTTGTGCTTTTGACTGTTCAGACAAAACAAGCTGCTACTCTTAGTTACTTGCCTGTCTGTGGATAGGAACATTATCTTGTGAGTAACATCAGAAAGTCAGTATTTACCAGTGCATTTACCCCTAAGAATTCCTGTTCTGCTTGTAAGAAAAGGTCAGGAAAGTTACCACTGTGTAGTGCATTAGCACATGCTGATGTTCTTAATTTGTGTTGTTTTTTTATTTTTTTATTTTTGAGATTTCACCCATGGCAAATATAATTTCATCTTTGCATAGAAAAAAACTTAAGGCTCTGGGAGGTTAATGAACTTGTTTGTTCACACTGTTCTAACAGGTTACATGCCAGAGTAGGAGCCAAAAACATGAGTTCTCATTGTGGTTCTGACATGCAATGTGAGAGTGCTGTTCCCTGAGGTTCATTTTCCCAGACAGACAATGAACTATGGGGCTCTTCATCTGAGGTTAATTGGAGTCTCTGCACCTTTCCTTAAATTAAAGAGATGCCCTGAGGAAATTGATGCACCAAATGTGTCTCAAGAACTGTACATCCAATTTAAGGTGGAACTGAGAAAGACAAGTGCTAAACTGTGACCTCACCAGAGGAACACAGCAGGGCATACCCGTGTGTGCGTACCATGGATGCTTTCCAGGGAAAAGCAAAGCCACTGCCACTCTTAGAAGTTTCTAATTCTTGAAAGATCTGAGGTTGTTCACATTTTAGAGCCAGCAGAACCAGGATACTTCCTAGTTCTGCAGACCAGGTAACTCTGTAATGAAAAGTATTGATTTTGCAGCTAGAAAAGTCTACCCACTTCTGGCTGAGAAAACAAGAGGGCAGGCACCATAACAGTTTGTGAAATAGGATAAGGGAGCAGCCTCCTGCTGCCCCAGCACTTGCCTGAATCAACAAATAATGAATCTTATAAAAAAAGGCTTTTAGTTTTTAAAGGATAGCTCTGAAACTGAAGGGTTGTCTCAGGCATAATTCATTCCTTCCTGCTCCTGGGTGGACAAAGATCAGCAGAAACTCCTCTCCTTTTCTTCATGCCCTGTGGAGCATCCAGAACATTGTCTGCATGTACCTTAAAAAAGGGAATGGTAGCATGGTGTGGGAGCCACTGAAAGCCCTGGGGCAAAACATGGGGTCCTGCTGTGAGAGACACCCTGTGTCTTTATCCCCTTGGAATCAGAGTACCCAATCTCACAGAATACCTGTTGAGACCAAGGGAGGCACCCCCATAAGGACTGAGTCTTCTGTCTTCTCTGGGGGTTTTCAGGTTTCAAGGTGTTACCTTGGATCTGTGCTGCAGAGCCAAAAATGCACAAGAAAACACAGAGTAACTGCTGTGAGTGTACAGGACTCACATCTGGTGTAATCTCCGTTTGCTTGTTCTGGCAAATTCCTTTCATCCATATGTTGTTTTCTTGAAAACATGCAAGATGGCAAAGTAGTAATCTGTCGTTGTAGGACATAATCCTGTAGGTGTAGGACATGGGTTTCTCTTCCTTTGGAATTCCTTGTTTCTTCTAAAGTTAACTCTGAGTCTCCTTGAGGACATAATAAATGCAAATAAAACCTGTCTTTTTCTTACACAAGCAGAAGTATTTTCAGTTTGCTCTTTTATGATGGTGGTAGTTCATGTTGGGTTCCTGAGTTAATCATGACTTCACAGGCGTTCTTTCCAAAAAAAGACTGTTTATTTTCAGATGTAAAACTGAAGTGTAGGAAGACTTCCTACACTTAAGTCACAGTGCCTCTCTCAGTATCATAAGGAAAAACATCATTCTGATAAGTAAGTGGTTGTATTTGGAGCTGTTCCATATTGGAACCCCTGGGACAAGGTAGGCTAAATGTATTCTTTTTTACCCAGAGTTTGGGTGTAACCAGTTTTAGATGTTTCAAAGCCAAACCGACATACTGCTCATAACTAAAACCAAGCAACAAGAAGAATAAAAAACACCTAAAGAGGAAAGATTTAGATTCCTGATGGGAGAAGCACAAAATGTCATTAGGGCTAAGCAGAAGAGCCAGTTACTCAGTGCAATTAAAGATCTTCAGTCCAAGATATGAACTCCAGCACCACTATTAAAGAATGTCCTTGAGACAACTCATCAGATCTGATGTATTCTGAGTATTTTTGGAAAAAATGCACGGAATCAGGTGAGAGCAGAGTCTTTAAATAACCCTACAAATGTGAAGAGTCAAAGAAGCACTTTTAACACATCTTTGGGAAAAGAAACAACATCCTTTGAAGTGGAGGCAGGTTGGATTTCAGAATGAAGCAGCTTTGCAGATTTAGACACCTGCTTAATTAGAAGATGAATGTGAAATCCTTAAAAGGCTTTTATGAGGCAGCACTTCAGAGAACAAGCATCCCTTTAGCATCGGCACAGAAGAGCTGTTGGCTGTTATCTTTGGAGCTGGGTCAAAACCGAATATATTAGCAAAAAGCACTCTCCATACATGGTGGGATGAGCTTTATGCAATTCCTGGACCTCACATAGGAAGCATTTTGAAAGAATCAGGAACAGCTGGAGTTGTGGATGCTTTAGAAGGTAACATGCAAATCATTATGCAATCAAAAAACAAACCAACTAAGAAAAAAATGGGTAGGTAGACAGGAGGCACACAATCATGTAAACACAATCAAGTACAATTTTATTCATGATACTGTTGTGTTTCAGTGATCTGTCCTACAGTCTTCAACCAATAGTACCAGAACAGGAAGTAAATGAGATAAAACCTTTCCCACCAACTTCTAAGCAGGAAAAAACCCATCTGTTTTAACAGACCAGTGAAGAGAAGCTCATGGAAGTGAGCTTTAAGAAATTCTTGTAATAGCAAAGGTCTTTGCTGTGTCACTTCAGGTAGAGACAGCTGGAAAAAAAAAGAAGAGATTTGTTTCCCCCCCGCCCTCAAATGAAGGAAAAAAGTGCAAAGTTTGTAATTGGCAAGTGATGAGAACACAAAGCTGACAGAAGGGAGTTCCCTTTTCTAGGACACTGGCCTATATGAAGACAGAGCAGTAATGTGCTCCTAATCCAAACCAGGGGAAAGGGTTTTGATAGGGCACACAGTGACTGCAAGAACTCTGTCAATAGAGAACTCAGTTCTGACTGTTTATGTATGAATGACAGCTTTTTGGAAAAGCCCTGCTTGTTGTTGGAGGTGTGTGGCCTTTACCCAGGAGACCACTGCAAGCGTTGCATCTCTTCAGAGATATTGAGAGCTCCCAGGAGAGCAGACACCTTTACCCCTGACTGTTCTTATTGCAAGAAAGAAGAAAAATAACGTAGATATGAGCTGAAGAAACAGACCTTTCCTTGCCAGACTATGGCCAAAATACTGAGTTCCTCAGCAGTTCACAAGGTCTGCATCCTTTAGTCAAAGCATCATCTGAAAAGATTAAAATATATTTAAGATTTTATAAGCTTTTTAACTTATACCACTGATGATGAAAAACACTCAGAGGGAAAGAAGAGAAATTTTAATAGACAATGACAATTTCCTGCTGTGGAGTATTTATTTTTATTCTCAATCACAGTTCACTGTCTTTTACAAAGCACGCTGTTTAACTTTTCAAAGTAACCTTGTTCTTCTTTTAAGACATTGTTTTCAGACTGTATCTTTAAATTGCCTTTATTGTATTGAATGCTGAAAACAAACTGAAGAAAACTGACAAATTTATGCAATAAAAATATAAGCAGATATACTGCAAATAAAACACGTGTTTGGGAAATAGAAATATGTATTAAGAGTTTGAATACAGCTTAAGGCAAAACCAATCTATTTTGGAACTTAAAATGCCCAAGATACGACTAATGTAAGATACAAATGGAGCAGCCTATTAATTCGTGTAAAGTAAAATGAACTAAAATAGAGTAGGAGGCCATAAACTAGTTATTTAAAAGCTAAATGGCAAAGCACATATTTTACTGGAGTCTCTATCCCAGTGTAGTGTAAACATTGATGCTGTGTTAGTTCTGATACCAAAGAACAGCAAGTAGCTGTATTATGCAACACAAATTGCAAGGTTTGGTGTGCTGGCTTCCATTTTTATTCCAACAGGGCTCCATAGAATAAGTGGGATACAATAAACATTTTCTGTAGTATTGCTGCTCCAACAGCCTGCTCCCATCTGCAGCTGCAGTGTGTTGGGAGGAGGTTTCAACCCTGTTGCTCGTCCCTAATGCAAAAGCTCAAATAAATCACTTAAATGCACCTTCTCATTTTTCAATGAGACCCCCACTGGCTGCACAACTGCTTTGTGGACTTGTCTACAGCTTTTGCCTACACATGGTTTGTAGCGGTGAGCCATAAACCTGAGGGTTTTTTCTAGCCTCAAAACAGAAGTAAAGGGTAGAGGTGCTCTTCCATGACCATCAAGTAAAGTCTTGACACCCCACTCAGGGGTTCGAGGTCTTTGTGAGGCCTAACATCCTGCTTTGATTTCCTTCCAAGGTTGAATATTTAGCATAATACAGAATAATGTTTGTTTCTGCTTAGGAAGAAATTTCAGTTCTTTAGTATAAAACATCAGGTGGTAGTAACTCAGGAATTTGTCATTTTGCTAATCTGGAATCTCCTGTATAATTTTACCTGAAACTGAATGCAAAGACACACAAGCTTCAGCTGAGGCAGAACACAGCTGCTTGTCCCCTGTGCTGTGTAAGCTTCCCTGAAGACATCAAAGACACCATCAGTCTTCTCCAACAAGTCTCTCTTCATTTTTGAGACCAGTTCAAGACCTGGATCCTGTTTTAACATGAAACAGAAAAATCAGGCTTGATCTGCCTCAAAGCTTGATCTGTATCAGCAAACCTTCTCTGAGAAAGAATCTCTACCCCAGGAGATACTCACAGAATAAATATCTCCCTGTAGTCCAGCTACAAGGTGTAGTACCAATTGCTTCTGGAAAAGGCCCCTGCTGTGCCCTAGAAAGGGAAAATGCCAGAAGATTTAGGGCATCCCATGTCATCCAGATCTGTGTTACAGACACGAGACACGGTCTCATCAGTGGTGGGGGCAATGCAAAAGTTAAGCAAATTTTGTAATCCCTGCAGTTACTCTTGATTTTCTGCAAAAAGATGGGCAGGAATTCCAATTCTTGGGCTAGATATATACGTCAGGGTAAATTTACATTATTAAACTAAAATCAAAGGAACTACACTGATTTATAGGAGCTGAAAATCTGTTCCAATGTTTCATACCTCCAGAAATTATCTTTATTTTTGATTTCTCGATTTTGTATGTGAGGAGATTGTAAACAGTTTGTTCAGATCTTCTTTTTAGAAAGATCAAATTATCTTTCTCAGTATTCTGTGCATTTAAATAGAAAATTACTATTTACCTAGAAGCTTCCTTGCAAGATTGAAGCAATCTGGCTTAATTTCCACAAGTTCAACACAGTGTTCTCAACTTCTGAACTGTATATGCGTATACAGAAATATAAAATGACACTTGTATCTATATTCTTGAAGTCTTACTGATTTTCTTTTTCATTACTGTATAAATCAGGCTACAAATCTGGGATACCATACTTAATTATGGGAAAGTGGTATCAGACTTCTTCCATTTTAACTGCATTTAAAATGTCAGTAACTATTTTAGGTGCAATAGCCTAAAAGCCCAGCCTAGCTTATAAACCCAGAAGATGTATGAAAACGTGCTTTTTCATTCCCCTGAAAAGCAATTTTTACAACTGTGTATTTGCAAGGAGTTGAAAAAACTAGCAATGCATTTATTTTTTAAATGAAATGTCCATAGCCTGTAGAATAATTCAAACAGGTGCTAATTAGATGTACAGAAAGGCCACTGAGGACAATTTATATATCTCCCTGCAAGAGAAAAAAAAACCTGAATAAATATTAATTGCTTATATTATGCAACTAATTATTTTTAAGACGACACTAAATTACCTGCAAATATTATAATTACAAAGTACTGGGTAATTTACTAAAGATTAATTGAAATGATTAAGTGCAAACAGCATAATTTTGCAAGGTGGTATTAACACTTTCTGCATGGAAATAAGAGACCAGCGTGGTTGTTGGTGGGTATTTAATGAAGCACTTCAAGCACATCATGAGAGCACCAGTGGCCTCTCTTTGATGTGCTCTTCTCCTGGAAGGGAATGGCAGGATTTCCATGAGGGGAAATCCTTGTAGTGTTGGTAATGACCAGAATGCCTAAACCAGTCTATTTAAGGACAGTGACATGAGTGAAACAAAAATATTGCATCATGGCCTGTCCAGCAGCCTCTTCTGAAAGCTGCAGCAATTGCAGCTGCTTCCTGAGTGAGGACTGAAGCAGCTGCACATGCATTTGGAATGTATTCCTTGCAAACAGCAAAAGGACATCCACTGCAAGCAAGATATTGGAAATATCACTGTGCAGCAATAGTTTTAATTCACTTTGCTGAATTCAGTAGCAGCTTCCTGCATGCAGGCTTCATGTGTGAAGGTGGAATGGTGATGGACCTGGAGAAGGGAGAGGGACTCGAAAAATTGTTCTAGTCCACCGTGGGTTATTTCTTTCCTAGGAGTATTCTTTTTGTTAAATGCAAGACCTTTTTCTGAACTTATTCTCTATTTATTACAATCTCTCGCCCAGCATTTATTTTTTTGGTGGCTTAATATTTAATACAATTCCAATGTAGTTATTTAGAGAGCGACAATGGAAAACAGAAGATAATTCAGTATTGAGAATAATTCTAGACTGCTGAGGCAATGGGAGGAAGATATACTTGTGTTCTTTTTGACTAACACATGGCAGAGCAGTAATGACATTGACTGGAAGATGTTCCACTTTTCACTGACACGTGTGCCATATGTCATTACAAGAAGCACCAAGAGTAGTGAGATGCTATAAATGAAAATAAATGCTTTGTACTTATGGCCAGTTGTAACATTAAGCACTTACAGTGTGCAAGATTGGAAATGTCTCCTACAGAACTAAACCTGACTATGTGAGGAGACATGAGTAAAGCAAGTTTATCAATTGATTTCCACTTTTCAATGGGTAGACTGCTTATCAATTTCCAATAAAAAGCTAAAATCCCTCTGACATCATGCTAGCTAGGAAATTTGACTCTTGAATGTGAAGAGTTCAATTCAGGAACTAAGAACTTTCTGGATATTTTTGTCCTAGTCAGTATCTCAGTTCAAAAATACATTTAGGAGTGTGTTTCAGCTCCTTTCATTTGAATAGGCCTTTCTTCAACCTAATAATGTGTAATACTGAATATCTCAGTTAATATGAGCAAGAAGGCTTGACTAATATTTAAATCAAGTCTGTACACAACATCCATTAGGCCAACATGGAGAAGACTCATACAGGATGAGAGAGTCAAATTTCAATTTTTTCTATATGTTGCAATCTTGGTTTCAAAAGGAAATAGGGCTATTTTAATCACAGATCTAAGAGATCAGAGAGATGTGAATCTCCCAGCCAGACACCCACACACAGAGCCTCTGAAGTCAACACAGCTGGACAGTATTATTTGTGTGCCCTTATCAAGCTCTGACAGACATTTTTACCTCAAAAGGTTCATTACTGAGACATCAGAATCACAGCTCCTTATGCAATAACGAAGTTGCACCAGAAGACAGGGCACAGCACTGGCAATGTGCAAGCCAGAAAAAAAGTGTGAGAGGCCAGACTGTGTAAAGCATCTAAACTGCAAAAAAAGTCCAATTCCTAGCAGGTGGCTGTGAAGTTGTCTGAAAGTGCAGTCTCTTGATTCTCTGCTGCTCTTTGCCTGGCCAGTCTCCAAGAGATGATTTGGAGAGGTGTAAAAGCTGCTTGGAATTAGCTGAGAACACTGGGCTCAGGGCTCAGAGCAGCCAGCTGGAGGCTGCCATGCCCTGGCACCCTGCAGCCACCCACGCCTGTGCCCACCCACACTCATCCTCCCCATGTGCTTTCACAGCCAGGAAGGGCACTGGAAACCCACAGACCTGAGCCTCTTACAGGAACACAGAGCCTGAAGAGCAGTGAAACACTAAGAACTGACACTGTGCCCATGGCAGCTTTGTCTGATTTGGTAAAAAGCCTGCATCACTCCCAACAGAAAATTGTACATTGATTTTACTCACAAATGTATGACAGCAGTTTCTTTCCAACGCTGGCATTCACAAATGTGGGCACAGCAAAATATTCAAAGAAAGTCATAGCAAAACAATAAACAATCAGAAAGCAGTGGCTAAATACAATTCATAACTGTTAGGCAAGGCTACAGCAATGTTCTTAGACTGGTACCTTATTTTACACTGAGATTACATATACAAGTTCAAAAGTATTTTGAATTTAGACCTTTGTAATTACATCATAATTACAGTGTCCTGGGTAACAAACTAAGACTTTGTAAAGCAGGTATCTTATTCATCTGAAAATGAATGCTTCCTTTATCTGACACAGCCAGTTGGTTTTGCTTATGCTGGTATAGATGGTTTGTTGGATGGAGAACATTCTTTTTGAAATATGTAAATGCAACTGATCTTGAGGGAAAAAAATAATCATAAACCACTAGTAAAAAGAAACTGCACTGCCCTTTAAAATGGCACAATTTTTGATGCTCTCTGTGAACATATTTCATGCTGGTTTGACCAGTACTCTTCTTACACTGTAGAAGTGTTTTTGCATGAAATGTATTAAGTGATGTAGAGCCCTCTTCCCTCATTCTGCATCAAGTTGTGCCTAAAAAAATATTGTTTGAGTCCAAGGAAATGAGTTGATTCTATCTCACCCCATGAGTTGAACTTGTTGTGTTTTGTTATAGAAACTTTTAAAGGGTTGCCATGTTTAGCTTGAGAGATGAATACAAATATTTGCCAACCAATCCCCAAATCCAAACCCTTGATTTTTCAGAGGTTTCTGTTTAGCCAAATGATGACATTTAGCAACAACAAATAACACCCTGGGTGAATTATCACATACTTGCTCCTGGGGGCCTTCTGCTGAACACGTGGCTGGTGAGATCGCCGCTGAAACCTTTTCCAGAACAGACCTCAGACACACCCCTGGCTCTGGCTGTTCGAGTTCCCTCTCTGCAGGTGAGGAAAACCTGGGAACTCCAAACTGCACAGCTGACATCTGCCAGGATTGGAGTCCAGCCCTGAAACTCCTATCCATAGGAATTCTGACTGACACTTTCAGGGCCTGAAGGATGACTGAGCACTGTCAGCGTGAGGACACCAAATCAGGCTGGAATTGCTGCAGAGAGGCCACAGTGCTTGGTGTGAGCTGGGGGGCAGGTGCTGAGTGTGAGCAGCCAGGTACATCTCTGTGTGTGCACACACAGCTCCTGTCTGACTCAACATCACAGTGCAGGATTCTGCCAGGCATTACAGAGTCCTTCCACTGCACAAACGATGGGACCTGCACGCCTCCACAGGTAAAACAGCACTTTTCCAAAGGGCACCAGAAATGAATACAAGAAACAGCATTTTTAATTAAAGTTTCATAGATTGGTGCAGCTCACAAACCCTGGAAAACACAGGACAGCCGCTTCAATACTTTTGGGAAAACTGATTTTCACTGACTGGACTGGGAAGCACTCCTTAGTGATATTAATATCCTTACTGTTGTGAAAAAATCAGAGTTAAAATATAAAATACTTAATGTAAATATTGTCTCCATTTTATCTCCATAACACTAAAATCGAATTATCTTTTAGAAAATTTAGCTGCTGCCACTTCAGAGACGTTGCCTTTGCAGCTGGGCGCATCCATGGCTCTGATCATACCTTTATGTCATAAATATGATCTCGGAACCAAAACTGGAAATGAAACTCAAGCCCCACGTTTGCAAACATAATTAGACATGTTCACTGATACTGTCTGGAAATGTGTGAGCGTAGTGAGCTTTGTTGACTTACTGTGTGCTTGTTCTGTACTATTGTCACCTCCTGTGTGGTGACACCCAGCAGTAATCCTGGCCCATGGCACCTTCTTTGAGTCAGGCTTCTGGAATCAAAGGTGCCAATAAAATGCCTGAAGCTGGTTAGTGAGATCCAGGGCTCCTCTTTTGAGTAATCTCAGTGACTGGGTAACGCCAACTATCAAAGAGATGTCTTACAAAAAGCCAAAGGCAAGTGTTTTACATTAAATCTTACAAAACTGTACATAAGAATAGTCTACAACATGAAAATGGCCATTAAATGTTGTAACAGTTATGTAATAATTCTAATGTTTCATATATTTATCATATTAATCACTGTATTAATACAGTTGTGTTTGTATACATATATTCAATGGCACTGTAAACAGTTGTTGGAAAACACACATCAACTCTTAACCCATTGGAAGTTATTATAGTACTTTTTCATCCAAAAAGTTAAAATGCATCAATGTATCATTGACTTAAAAAAAATAGCCTTGTAATATAATGCACATTTGACATTTTCTAGGGTAGCAATCAAGATGAAGCATAACAGAGAATGTTCTAGATTTCAGAATGTTTTACATTTACACCTAATGTGATACAAAAAATTTAAACAGTAAATGTAATTAAATAATACACAGTTTATGAAACAGTTGATTTCAGAGATCCATAATACACAAAATCTAGTTAGTGTCTAATGGGAGTTCCCAATAATTTATATCTCTGGGATCTTTATGGAAAACTTAAGTTGGTTTCTATGTAACATCTCATAGGCAAAGTAAGTTTGAACTGAATTTTTTTTTTTTCCTTTTCTGTACAGAGCTGCATTCAAGTGGATAAAACATTTTTATGTTTATTTATGTTTCCCTTTGCTGGACATTCATCCAATAAGCCTTGAGCATATGCTTAAGCATCTGGTAATGACATTTTGTGGGGCAGGGAAACTCACTATCTATGTCCCTCAGTAAACAAAGTGGTTCTATTTTTTCCACAGTTAAGGCAACTATACTGATATATTAGACACACCATATGTTTTTATGTCGCTTCCTACAATCTAAACAGTAAGAGTGAACAGAAGTTTCAAACATGCTTTGATCTTCTTGACCATTCAGGAATTTCACCAAGCTGGTAGAGAGCTCTTCACCATACAGGGAGCAACCTGGTACCGGGGCTGGCACTCGCTGATCTTTAAGGTCCATCCCAGCCCCACAACATTCTGGGATTCTATGAACTGTAGCACAGCTTGTTAGCTGTTCACTAAAAAAACAAAGTTTGGATTGCCTTGAATTTGAAGACTGACCGCTCATATAACTTACCAGAAAAATTAAACAAAAAACAGCCAGTCAGAGTCTAGCGAACGAAATCGATAAAAACAGTAACGCACACATACACAATTTCTGTGTTTTCAGTTATTTCTACCCCATAACTTAAGCTACTCAGACCCTTGTGATCATCCTCGCTGTACCTTGGGTGGGCTTTGCCAAAGGCTATCTTCAGACATTTTAAGTGATGACACTTGGTATCTGCCAACTCCAGCATTTCACTTCTTATTTATCCTAACAAATCACATCAACTAGAGAGCCATTTCCATTTGTTTCCCGCCGGGTAAGGCTGCAGGTATCAATGACAGTGAACAGGAGCACTAGCACAGCATCTGCAGGGCAATGCAGCTACAGGGGACAGAGCCACAGAGCTGCCAGTGCTGCCAGAACAGCGAGGGAGGGACTCAGGGCTGGGCTGCTCCCATTTCCAGTTACACTGTGTTTGGAGGATGACTTGACAATGCTTGTGGTGGTTGTGGTGTCAATCTTTTTCACGGTTGGTTTTAGTTCGTTTCTGTTTTCTGGATGGGTTTTCTTGTCCTTGAGTACATCTGAAAACATGAAATTAAACAGGATATTAATCACACATCTTTTAAATAGTGCTTGAACGTATTTTAAATATTGCTGGAACATGTTGTACACTCACTCTGAGTAACTGAAACATGGATGGGCACTGATGGGGCACTTGCACTCATTTTAGTTGGGCTCAGCATGGCTGCTCTGTCCTCAGCATCCCCTGTTCTGCTCAACAAGTCTTCTCTGCCTGCCTGGCTCTCCTTGGCTGCTCACAGACACAGCCTGAGCAGAATAACAGGTATTCTGCATTGCAGTGCCTGGGTTCAGAACCTGATCTTCTCTCACAGAAAGTACCTTGAGTTTCACCTGGGCTGGGAACCAGCTCATGCTTTAAAATGTGGTGCTAGGATCGAGTGGTTTTGTAACACATCACACTGAAACACCCTCCAGGCTGCTGGGCTGCTGCTGGAGATTGGATATTGACTTAACAGAATCCCAGAACGGTTTGGGTTGGAAGGGACCTTAAAGATCACTTTGTTCCACCCTCCTGCCATGGCCAGGGACACCTTCCACTGTCCCAGGCTGCTCCAAGCCCCATCCAGCCTGGCCTGGGACATTTCCAGGGATGGGGCAGCCACAGCTTCTCTGGGCAACCTGTGCCAGGGCCTCACCACCCTCTGAGTACAGAACTTTTTTCTAGTATTTAACCTAAATCTCTCCTCTTTTCATTTAAAATCACTAGCCCTCATCCTTTTCACTGTCTTCCTGTGTAAAGGGTCACTCTCCCCATTTTTTGTAAGTCTCATTTAAGCACTGGAAGGCTTCTCCTTCCAGACGCATTTTGAGGCAATTCCATGTATTTTTATATAAAGAATTGGATTCAGAAGAAAGTAGGAGTAGCCCTTTACTGCAAAAACATGGATTTTTTTAAAAGGGAGAAAATAATAAATCTTCAGTTATGTAGACATTTCCAAGCTATTTGCAAATATTACTGAGACCATATTGTCTTTAAACCCTCTCACTGGCATTGTGGAGAAATAACAAACAAACAAACAAACAAAAGGACTGTTTCATCGGCTGAAGGGATGATGATTTTATAGTCAATCTATAAAAGTATAGCTGAGTGCTCAGTAAGAACAAATGCCTACCTAGAAGAATTTATAATTAACAATAAATGCTCAGGTCCAAGTTTAAAGGATTTGTGATACTAATGAATGCAGTGCACATACAAAAGAAAGCAAAAGGCATGGATTTGTAATGCAGATGAAACAGCAGTCCAATCTTAAAATAAAAACTCTGAATCACAGAAGCAAATTCCTGGCAGAAACTGGAAAGATGGAAAGTATTCCAGAAATGTAAATGCAATCTGAGATCATTGTCTGCATGTCAGTAGTTCTGAACAACCATCAATAAATTCACTTGATACTAAAAATGAGCTATTGTATTGGGAAAGCACACATTGTTCTTTTGCCAGAATAAACTGCAGAAGAAATGCAATGAATTCCTCCATTTTACCATAATATCAACATTAATCCCGGAGGAATGTGTGATTCCTACACCTGACTCAAAAGGGACTGCAGTGAAGGGACAGCAGCTGGCAAGGCACACTTTGGGAAAAGGGAATTCTGACATTTTGCTCAAAATTCCTTATGGCAAAGTGCAGACAGAGCTGCTCTGGGATTCCAACTTGCAGTGGAGCTCACAGAAAGGAGGGGGAGAAAAAGCATGCTCAAATTGTTTAGAAAATATCAGTATTCTGAGGACATTTAAAGAAAAATGGACAACCTTCAGACTGTCATTAAAGTAAATTAAGAATAAATCATGGAAATAGGTGTGTTCTGACACTGCCTGGAGTCCTTTCCATCACTGTCACTCTCCTTTGCAACTGCTGTAAAGGCACTATTTCTCTGCTGCCTCTTATATCATCCCAGCCTGCTGACTTCAGCTCTCTAGGGCCAGCTGATTAAATTAAGCCCTCACTCAGGTAAATCTATTCCCCTCTTTCAGCTGGCTATGTCCAGCATTGTAACTTGATTGGCGTCTATAAATCGGCCAGACTGAAATGTATTAATTCGTTTATTTCCTTACTATTGACTTGAACAGAAATCTAAGGTAAGATTTAATGCTATCAGAGAGAATGCTGGTTTTTAAAAGCTTTCCTCTCAGTGACTGCTTAATGCACTACATAACAAGCGTTAAATAATACATTAGAAACTTCTGCCTTCATCCTTTCCAGGGGAAGGACTCCATTCTGAATTCTCTCTCTGTCTTCACAGCAGAGGATCTTCCCATGCTATTCGTGGCCAGTTCTAATTTGGGATCTAATTGTGCAAAATTGGCATTTTATTTAAAATGCTGTTTTCTCCTTTCTTAAAAATAAATAAAAATAGCTTAACTTTCAATTCAGTTCAAAATATTTTTCAATCCTCTATTTGGTTTCTAAGGCACAAATTTCAACAGTATAAAGATTTCCTGTTTTATTCCAGTTTCCTTAGAGTTCCTGTTGCTTACTCACTCCACGATTTTGGCTGAGAGACTCTGAGTTAAATGAGTTTTCCCTCTTAAATCTTTTTCTCTGAGTCAGAGATGGCTATGTTCAGTCTACTGCTGACATTCAAAAGGCAAAAAAGTACTGATCATGCTAGGAAAGAAAAAAGTGTTAGTGTGAAGACTAGCACAGAAATGAAACTTCAGTCTCAACACAGCAAACCCCAGATGTTCAGCGCCCATGAATCCGGAGTATGACTTCATAAAACCAGCCCACCAAACCCCACAGCTGTGCTTTGTTCTCCTGTTTACCTTCTGTGTTTTAAAGGCTTTATGGTTGCCCATTAGAAGCCTTTTCCATCACTAGAAACTTCCTTCCACCATCAGTCCCTCTCTCCTTTCCAGAAATGAGGTGGTTAAACTCTCTGAAGGTTCAGCTCAGCCTGTCATTGGGCTGGCCTTTGGACACTGGCACATGAATATTGTTCTGTGCTGTTCATCTACCACTGCCCCACAGTGGTGGTACAGCCGCTGCAGTGGTGGCTGTGCTGTTCCCTCATCCTTCTCTAGGTGAGAATATTCAAATCCTGCCAGCAAGGGAGCTTAGGGAAGGCAGCTGACTGCCAAGGCAGCCTTTCTGAGCAGCCTTTCAGGACTCCTGCCGAGGACAGGGTCTGCTGGGGTCACTGAAGATGGCTCACAGTTCCTCCAGACCCCGTGATTACAGCTCAGGGATTGAGTCCACTTCCTTAGCTGAACTCTCATCTGTGTTAACTGCTGCTAAATTCACATCTTGACAGTATAAACAAAACACAGAATGAAAATGACTTGACCTCACTGTTTAGAGTGTTCAGGATTATCTTCACCTCCGAGATGTAACCGCAGATTGCTGCCCAGAAACACACGTGCTGCTCCGACGGCAACGAGCTACTCATAAATACCTCTATGGATCAATACTATTCCTCAGAGAGACCAGCTTAGGATGGCAGGAGAACCAAAAATGTCACTGACATCTAATTTAAGAACAGGAAACCTCCCTATAGCGAGGGCTAATTATGCCTTTCAAATGCATTCAGAGAGTCACATGTTAAATACACTGAATTGGAGGCAGTAAAGATTCTGGGGCAAAACATTGCTGTTATAAGTTTTTTAGGTTATTACCAGGTCATCAGACAGAAGTTCAAGTCATATTGGCACCCAAGATGGCAGTTCCCCCTTCCTAGGCCAAATGATTTGCAGTTTGCTACTGCTAGGGATTATTAAAGATGTAACTGTTTATTGGTGTTCTTGCATGCTATTGCTCTCTAGTGAGCGGTATCAGCAGGGGCTGCTTTAATCTGTTTCCTACTGTCCTGCCAAGGGATGAACAAGTTCAGCTACTTAACAGAAACCTCCTTCCATTTTTGTCCTTCTCTTGATCTGATTTGCTCAGTCCTTTCTGTGTGATGGTAAAGGAGTGGATCTCTGCTCGTCAGGCACTGCACTCGTGACTGCCCAACAGCCTTTGTGCCTCTAAGGCTGCAGATCCTCTCACCAGACAGGGGTACAGCCCCTGGGAGGGGAGGCTGAATAAAAACAAACCAGAGAGATTTGCCAGAGCAGTCCTGTAAATGTTAATTACAGCAGCCTGGTTTCTAATGGAGCGGGGCACTGGCAGCAGAGGATCCGTGCTCATCAATCCACCGTGCCCATAACGTGCGGATTCTGGACACGGTTCCATGCTTTAACCAGGAGCTGCTAGAGAGAACTTTCAACCCAGCTATTTGGGGAGACAAAAGAAGCAGAGATTATTTATTTCTGCTTTCCCCATGTTAATTATATCAAGTCAGACATGTCCATTTCTTTGTAGACTTTCATGCAAACACTGTGCTTTGAAAAGACAGACTGTCAGCATCTACGATAGCAAATTAATGCCTTGGTCTTGAATGCCTCATCATGGCTGTAATGACACTCATAATGCAGGGCTGAAGTGAACTGGTCAGCACCTGCAGTTACTCTCCATGTTGGAGCTCAGTTGCTTGATAAATTTCCCTTCGATCACAGGCTTGGGTTTGGCTGACAGCTTCATAAGAAAATTAAAGCTAGGTGCAACTTGGTGGAACAGGCTCTTAAATTACAGTAGATGCTGCAGTGTTATTATTAGCTTTTTATCACTTTGGGTAGCAAAAGCTGAAATTACTTTTACATATTCAAAGGAAGAAGCTCTGAAATTGCAAAACAATGCTGTCGCCATAAAATGTACCAGCAATTTCCAAATAATCCATTATCCTGACATTAAGACCTGCACTAATTATTTCTAGTAACAGCCGCAGCAGACAAATGGAAACAGGAATGCTGTGGAAATGGGAATGTGAGAACTCCTAAAGTATTCTAACTCATGATGCAATTCTCCAAATTCTGGAGTCTGTTATTCTGGAGTCATCTGTATACTACCAGTCAGTAAAAGGTGGGTGTAATGCACGCTTTGTGGAGCCAGAAGAAGTGAGCAATGAACAGCTCTGTATGTACTGTTCTACCATTTTCTATTTCAGCCTGAGAATGTGCTGTC